GCAGGAAAGAGCGAGAAAATGTCAGAGGGATGATCGTCATAAACTTTGAAAGGTGAAGATATTCTGTGTTAGCAAAAACAAAGGGGGGGGAGGTGGTGAGCGCGCTTTGCCACTTTGAATGATGCTGGTCCCCTGCAAGGAGTCACAGGAGGATCAGGTCTTAAGAGCAACACTGGGACTGGGGAGGCGAGCGAGCGCGTGTGTTGGGAAGAGTGGTCCTGAGGCGCCCTCTGGTGTCCACTTGGTTTAACGCTACAAGGAGGAAACCTAAATTCAGCTCCTACCGGATTTCCCTTCATCAGGGGACAAAGTAGCTTCTGGGCGGGTGAAATGGGTCCCTCGGCATCATCAATAATATGCTGAGAAAAACCACAAAGCCCTTACAGACATCTTAGAATGCTAGATGTCACTGCATAAGCGAGGCACACGGGCAGAGGGAGCTGGCGTGGGGAGATGGAGAGAGGTTACGCTCTGGGTGCGATGGGTGTGAGGCAGCAACGGGACGGCCCCCAGTGCATCCGACAGGTGTGCAGCCATCCGGCAGAGTGAAAACTGGAACTTACGAACTAGACCCGTGCGGTCCATTTCCCCAGTGATCCGTAACCGTTCGCGGAATGAATCAATGGGTCTGGACTCCGTGTACGTGTCTGTGGTACGCACATTCATCACCAGGTGCACACTTGCAGCAATGACAAAAAATCCCTGAACTTGAGGTCACACAGTTTCCAGGTCAAGACCTCTCTGCTCAGCCAGTTAGCCACGATGCCTCTGTTCCAGACCTGCGGCTCTGTGCAGCCCGTGGACACCAGCAACAGCATCCTCCGGGAGCTTGTCAGAAATGCAGGATCTCGGGGCGCCTGGGTGGCTCAGTGGGTTAAAGCCTCTGCTTTCGGCTCAGGTCATGATCCCAGGGTCCTGGGATCGAGCCCTGCATCGGGTTCTCTGCTCAGCGGGGAGCCTGCTTCCTCCTCTCTCTCTGCCTGCCTCTCTGCCTACTTGTGATCTCTGTCTGTCAAATAAATAAAAAATCTTTAAAAAAAAAAAAAAAAAAAGAAATGCAGGATCTCAGACCTGACCCCAGGCCCACAGAGGCAAAACATGTAGGTTAACAAGACACCCCCTTACCCCGAGTGACTTGTGTGGCCATTAAAACCCAAAACACCCGGACACGGGGCCCACTGGAACAAGGCGGGCTGGTTGTGGCAAGGTTTGAATGAGTTAGCGTTTGTGAAAGTGCAGAACAATGCCTAGCACATAATAAGCGTTCGTGTTCTGTGAATGAATGACAGCCATAATGATAGCTGACACTTTAACAAGTCTTGGCACTTCTAAATGTTGTTTATTAAAGCACTGTTCTAAGTGCTTTGTGTTTAGTAGTTCACTGAATGAACGAAGGAACGCATGAGGCCTGGGGGCTACCTCAAGGCTGGGGGCAGGACCCTGTTACCTGAATGTTCTTCATAAATGGCCTCTCCAATTTTGATGACACGATTTGGATTGATCTGCTTTGTTCCACTTAACCCCTAACACAAGCTATTCACGCAATGCTTGATCAAGTAACTTGCTGAGTAAGTGATGAGAAATCAAAGCAGATTGGAGTTTCCGATTAGGATTTCACCAGACCTCCATCTGCTTCTTTGGGATTCTTCGTGGTGTCACTGCTGGAGATTTGAACCTCCGGTAAGTGTGTACATGTGTGCACCGGCGACACGGCTGGTCCTTCGCTGAATGCCAGAGATAGAGACATATCAGATGTGGCCAACCTGCAGATAGACACCTTATTCTATACTAGTGTTTTCCTAGAGCAAGACTAGACCAGCAGGACCTCCTTCTTCCAGCCGGTCACCATCCGAGGCTGGCTTCCTCTTCCCCCAGTTTGATTCCCATCATGTGGCTCCCTCCTCTGCCCCGGAACCATCAGTAGCTCCCACTGTCCACCAACCTGTGGTGTTCAGATGTGGCATCATCTAATTTTCCAGCCTCGGTGATCCAGCCGTATATCTAGTTCTTTATAGCGCACCATCATCATGAACAGTCCCAGAACCTGACCCCACCCACCGCCTTTCAGCCTTCCCACCTCCGTACAGAGCTGTCTTCAGCCTGGAAGCTTCCCTGTTCACATGTGAAAATCTGCACACTTGAGGCATATCTTAGATGCCACCTTCTCTGTGATGCTTTTCCAGCTGGGGATTTCACTCTCCTCTGAAATGCCAGGCAACGTGTTGGCACCTTTCCTGGTCCACTTACGCCCCATCATCGGGGTCCTTGTCTGGGGTTCCTATGCGGTGGAGGTAGACTGCTCTAGATTCAAATCCTGCTGCCCGTCTGTGATCGTGGGCCTGTTACGTCTTCCTCGTGTGTAAAATGGGGATGGAATCATCAGGCTCACAGAGGGGTTGAAAGGTTTAAGTGAGACAATGTGTTCAGAGTGCGTGGAGCATTTCAGAAGCTCCAACCCGGCCAAGCCGCTCTAGGCATTTTTGCCTCCCCTACCGCACCCATCACAGTACACGCTAGGTAAGTATCTGTTCGGTTGAATTCACGGACACATGATAATCGGAATTATTTTAGGGAAGTGGCAGCAGGCACAGGATAAATTCTATGCTCATTTATTCGAAGAGCCCTGGAGCTCACTACTCTGAGTGCTCATCGATCTTAAGCGGAGACATCTGAAAATCATTCACTGTCAGTGCCCCGAGCAGAGGTCCAACAGAGGAAACACCTGGCCAGAGAGCATGCGCAGCTCCGTTCCCAGAGGGCGGCAACCTGTGCAGAGATCCAAAGTCAAAATGCACCCAGGGGTCAACTCCCAACACCACTGAACAGTTAGGATGGGCGAAGTCCACCTCATCTCGGGGAGTCACGCGGCAAGCACGGCCTTGGTCTTTCGGTAGCAAAAGCCACAGGACACATGCTTGAAGACGTGCCCAGTCTGGGTGCCTGGGTGGCTCAGTCACCCAGTGTCTGCCTTTGGCTCAGGTCGTGATCCTGGAGTGCCAGGATCGAGTCTCACATTGGGCTCCCCGCTCAGCAGGGGCTCTGCTTCTCCCTCTGCCTCTGCTCCTTCTCCTGCTCATTCTCTCTCTCTCTCTAATAAATAAATAAAATCTTAACAACAACAACAAAAAGTGCCCAGTCTTTCCCCAAACAAACTGTATATCCTTAATAAACTCTGTCCTCAGAACATGCGATAACCCCCTGTAGGGTCTCCCTCTCTCCCCTTTCGGCCCAGGCCAAATGTCGCTTCCTCCACCAAGCCTCGATTTCCCTCTGAGTTCACGGTCCTCCTAGTATAGGATCTCCTTTCACATCGTGTGTATGTCCCCTTTCACTCCTGGAAACTTGGAGGACAGGGTCCATGCCTGATTCTATGCCCAGAAATAAGAACCGCTGGACCATACAGGTCCAGTAAACGCAGGATGGACTCTTGGATGCTTGGATGGATGAAAAAATTGAATAAAAGTGGGAGGACCTTGAGGTACCGAAGTCACTCTGCCATAGGGAGGTTCAGACAAGTTTCTCCAGGGAGGGAAGTTTTCCTTCTGCCAAGCCGGTACCTATGAAGTGGCGAGATTGGTCCCGGCCCCTTACGAACAAACAAGTTCTCAATCGCTGAGTCACTGTGATCCAAGTGCCCACGTTGTCCAGCAGCCTAGCCAAAACCCACACTGGCACAGAGCATCCTATGACCAATTTTTATTGTATCTCAAGGCACATCTCCGCCTTCCAAGCATTGGGGCACGTGTAAAGGTTCGCGGGGCGACGAGTAAATAACAAACTTTAAACCTGGGTTTCCAAACCAGCTTTCTCCTAGGCAACCATGAAGTTACCGAAAAGGGACACATATCAGCCACTGTCCCCCTTGTGGTATTTCAGTCTTTGGCATCCTACTGTCATTCACCCTGAGTGAGCACTGCTGTATAGCCTGGAGGAAAATGTAAACAGCAAACTTCCTATACTCTGATCATTCCCTACTTGGCCCGAGAACATTTTAACCTCACAGGCTCAGCCAGCCTCGTAGACAGGACCTCACGGGTCACCTGGGCCCTGGCAGGAAGCCCCTGGACCCCCGCCTGAGCTAGCAGGTGGTGCCTTGGTCTCCAGTGAATCACTGCCAGCTGGAATGGAGGCCAGGGACAGTATCCAGCTGAGGGAGCACCTGAATCAGGACTTCGCTTTGATTCTAGCAGGAGCTTTCAGAAAGATCCTCAATTGGGTTGACAGGATCCGGACCCCAGGCCTCACGGACTCAGGAATGTGCGCCCAGAGGTCTCTCAGTCATGGACGGAGGCGAAAATCACTCAAGGATCGTGACCATGGGGAAATGTCTGTGCCAGTGGCCACATTTCCTTTCATGCAGGGTGCTACTGGATACTTTCTGGCATCAAGATACTGTGGAGCCAATTTGAGTACAAAATTAGAAAGAAAGAGTGGGAGTCTCGAGGCCAAAATTCCCAGGATGTGGCAAGGCCCAATGAGATTGCACCGGCCTTGACCACGTGATTGGCCAGAGCCTTCGTGTGGGTTGGCCCCTGTGACCCCCTGGAGACTTCCCTACCTACTGGTTTTCTGCAGCTGCTTTTCTCCCTGCCCTGTCCCCTGCTGAGGACCTCTCCAGGTGTCTGTGCTCCAGTCACAGCTGCCCACGTGTCTGGTGGGCTTGGCTTCCTCCTAGCATGGGTCAAACCAACCCTTAGAGCTCTACAGTGGCAGCCAACAGAAGCTGCTCCGTATTTAGACAACTCCAAATTCTCAGAGATATTCCTAGGTATCCACCCACCGTCAGCGCCCCATCCTTCAGGGCGGCTCTGCCATCGAGTGCGGTGGTGGCACCCACCTGTACCGAAGCTCATCAGCTCCTCCAAGCCTGGTGAGAACCCAAATGACCGTGCCCTCCCTCTTCCATGCCAAGGCCTCTAAAAAGGCCACTTGCTGGCATGCTCTCCCAGTCTCACGCACTCAAACGGTGGTCCCGCTGGCGAAAACAACGCGAAGCTTTGTCTTTAAACTAGAATTTATTGGTATACAAAACTCCATTTCATAGATAAAGTGGCACATCTTTGCAGCTTCTATTGCACCAAGTATGGAAGATTAAAACACACAAAAAAGAAACATTTGGTTTTGAAGACACTGCAAATAGCCAAGTACAGTACTTTGGTAAATAAAAATAAAATGGTTCAGATGAACACAATCTGTGAAAAGAAACCACCGAGAGGAAATGAACTATGGACATCAGACAATGGTCACATTTCTCCCCGTCAAGCTCCAGAGATAAGGCAAGACTTGCTAAGTCTAAGGATTGTGACCCCATGGAGGTCTTAAGTATCTCCAGACTGAAGCTAGGACAAGTATAGTGCAATTAGAAAAAAGAGATGGTTCCCGAGCCTGCGAAGGCCCGTGTTCCCCAGAGACACACCTGTGCTCTTTCCCGGGGGTTCACACCCTCTGGCACCTCTGCGCCAGCAAGAGGAACACGCAGGGCTTGAGTCTAACTCCCAGCTCCTTCCATCTTCTCACTGAGCTCGGTGGTCCTGGAGCTTGCTGGAAGGGTGGCTGGGGAGGCCGAGGGCCCTCCTGCCGTGGAAAATGAACAATGAGGGTGGGAACATGGCGGACAGCCCCACAATAGTGTTCTTCAAGTTTTGGTCAAGGGATGTGCCAGGGGCTCAAACCACAGGCTGAGGTTTCTGACTGAGCCCCAGTGACTGTCCCGGACGGCTGGCCACGGGGGCCTGCTGGCTGCTAACGTGCGCAGGGGTAGGGGCAGCCCTCACATGCTTCATCCAGGGATGGTCGCCCACCTGACGACAGGCACAGGGAGTAGCAGCCGTTCTGGAACACGGGGCTGCCCTGCTGGAAACTGAGCCACCGCGCAGAAGTTCGTGCTTTACAGAAACGTTCTTCACGACTGCAGCCCCTTCTCCGGTAACTCTGCAAGGACTCTAACCATTTTAACCAAGCTACAAAGCACCCCTAACTAGCAGAGAGAGACTAGTAAGCTTAGAAGACATGGCTAAGAGCCTGAGGTCACCAGGAGCATCACCTGGGGCCTGAGCAGAGCGAGGCAGCCCGCAGGCCCATCAATTCCCCGGGGGCCGGGCCCTGTGAGGGGCGGGGGGGTGTCACCACCTCCGCCTCATTCCAGTTACTCATTCTCCCTCTAGTATATGGCAGCAGATTTCCCTAAACACGTCATCTAGAAGACCTTCGCTTCAGTGTCAGCAGAAAAACACAATCTGCTTTAGAGTCAGGAAAACACAGGTCGTAAAAAAGTGCCATTATTCAATGACCTCCGAACAACTGTCGGAAGGCCCCAGAGTCTCAGCCACGCCTGCTCTGAACGCGGAGGTGGACAGTGAAGACTGAAAACGGGAGAACAGCAGCAGACTCTGAATCTAGACGTTTGCTACAGACAGACAGAGCCTTGAGGTAAAAAGGTAAAAAGGTGAAGAGCCACGTGTCTGCCCAAAATGGGAGTCAGCGACGGCCCCAGATGTGACCCACGGAGACCAAGCGCTCCATTTTCTTCCTTTGACTCAGGGAGACCGTTAGTCAGCGTGGACTAGAAATCCCAGTTTCCGGGAACCGACTGCACGTTCGAGCGGACCATTTCACAGAAGTAAACTGACAGCATTCTACGTAGACCCAGTAAAACCCGGGCAGAGTCTGAAGTTTCTCAGAATGAGAGAAACTGCACATCGACGACAGGGACTCACCACGAGGACAGTTCAGCGCCGAAGTCCCTCGATGCCGACCTACTTAACGAGTGAGCGGCTCTCCCCGACGTCACGGGGCCCCCCTCGCCCAGGACTGTGTCATTTCACATTGTAAATGCCAGGGAGAGGAGGCAGGGCGCTACCGATGACCAACTTGAAGGTTCCCGTGACGCCCACTAGAGCCGCCCCGCAAGGGAGACCCCACTTCACAAGCCCTCGGGATCAAAACAGGTTTGGAAGTGTTTTCAGAGCTTATAAAAGAAAATACAGACAACCACCTCCGCTGATATCGAAGATCTTGCTTTCTGCCACCATCCCTCAAGCAGGCTATGCTCCAGAAAGCATATGTGCGCGCTACGGAAAATTACACGTGCATACGCGTTCTCTCGAACACCTCCTGATGGCAACTATGTGATTTAGAAGGTGTGGTTCTAGGTTGCTTGAATACATCTACCTCTCTAGTACAAAGCTGTTGCCACTAAAATTTTATGTATTTTGACCTTTAGAAAATCTTATTTTAAAATCCATAAAACCTTTATATACAGTTTCTAAGACGAATAAGCAGCTACAGACCACTGCCCCATCCCCTTCTCCTGACCTCACTAAAGGCTCCCGAGACAGCCCCAGGTAACGTTAACTTCTAACGACCAAGATGCAGCCCAGAGGCTCAGTAAGCAACACGCGCCTCCTAACGTGGGGTGCACGTGAGTCACCGCGCTGGGGATGAGAGTTCCAACAACAGTCAGCCCAGAGCCAAACACCCCGGGCCTCCACGCTGGCCGCCAATAAAGTAACTTTCAAGTGCCTACGAGGCAACCAGGTGCGCGGACCCGCCTACCTCATCCCTCAGCGACACTGAGGCAGGAAAGCCGCAACTCACACGCTTAGCGCGAGATCACTAAAGTCGAATACGTGTACCCACTCCTAATAACTAACGTTTTAAACGCAGACCAATTTTAACTGCAAAACTATGAAATGGTAGTAAGAGAAAATTCCCGAAGCCAGATTAGTTTTTAAAACCACTGTTATCTTACCCCAGAAATGCTGAAGTCTATTATCAGAATTTGGTAATTTGTTAACAAGCGTGCCCAATATTCCTTAATAACTTCTTAGCAGCTTCTAGTTAATCTTCTAAAACCCAACAGGGCCCAAGGCCACCTTCACTAACCAGGTAAATAGAGCAATTCTATTGCTCCTGACGGGGGTATCCCTTATGGTTATTTCAGATTCCTAATCCTGCTGAGTTTCCAAAACCACATCTTGACCTTCCTGAGAGGATCTGGTCTCTTGCCCTCTAGGCCTACCGGACGGACGAGAAAGAGTGCTCGCTCAGGAAAGATCAACCACAGTCAGGAAAGTGTCCAGAGTCAAAAGCCAAGAGGACGATCGATCCGTTAAGCACTGGATCTCACTCCCTTGGAAACAGAAGGCATCAGAGCCCCTGCACCCGCGGGGACTGAGCACAAGAGCCTCAGACTCAGGACTCCACGATGTGCAAAGAAATCATGCTCGGCACTTTCCAAATCTGCTGACTATTACAGAGCCCTGTACCAGGAAGAAGCCCAAATTGCAATGGCCTAAGAGCAGTTCCAAGAAACCACAGGTGCTCCAACTACAAAAAGTCACCAAAGTCAACAAACAAAAAATTAAAACACATCATTAAAACTGAAGAAAGCAAATCATCTGCTGATAAAAGCAATTCAGTGAATCCAGGCCCAGCCCAGACAATGGTACATCCATTCAGTCAAAAGGTTTTTATTGTTTTCCCTTGTCCTTGGAACAGTTATAATTTTGAAATCTGAGGTGGAGAAGTAACTAATTTACCTTCATTTGGCAGAATTTATCTGTCCAAATACGGGGTCCCCAAAAGGCCAAGACTGTCCACAACTGTCCAGTTCATACGTTCTAGGTTAAAAGTTCACACCCACCTACCAGTCTTAGGAATGACCCCTCTCCACCTCCCAAATCCATGTCAGAACTGTGGAGTCATTCCATGGCCTCTGTCCTGTTGGGCTAACCTGAGTCCCTGACAAGTGCTAAAGTGCGGAAGAATTTTTCCGACATCAAAATCCCAGATAGGGCTGGAACAGAAAGAAAGAAATGCAGCATTTTATGGGATTCCATTTTCACAACATTAAGAAAACTGAGCATTAGGTCAAACTACTTCTCTGAAGGTATCTAAGTCTAGAACAGTGAAGAAGAAAACAGTTAATTATTTAAAAGGTGAACCTGAAAAGCTTTAGTTATTCTTCCAGACCTCTGCCCACACAAAATCAAGTAACTCCTTAGAGTCTCTGCAGACAAAGACTGGACTCTCTTCATTTCTCCCTTTATAACCCTGGGTTATGCTCTCCATACGATCAGAAGCTCAGGATTACCTCATAAGCAGTAACATGCCACCTTCTCTTTGTCAAGAAACAAGTACCAAAACCTCAACACCACTACCACTTTTCCAGCAAAGTCCGGGCCTAATCAGCATCGGGCGCGTTTCTGAGAAGGCGTGCGCACAAGCAAACTCAGCACCTGCATCCCACCTGAAACAGCCTCAGAGTCAGGAAGGAGAGAAACGTAGCTGTTGAATTTCCACCCTGACTACAGGCCGCAACCCTCATATCCTATTACTTTGGGAAAAATACTTCCTGAATTAATTTCTGATTAACTTGGACTAGTAGAAAATTAAATCTAAACATGTTCCTGAGTTGAAGACTGTTTACAAACTATCCCATATGTGAATATCAGCTTGAAAATGAAAGGAAAACAAAGGAAACTTGTTGTTCTGAATTTCTAGCAACTAATCTAAACTACTTCATGAACAATTACAGCAAAACTCACCCCAAGTGCTCAGGAAAAGTCCCAGAGTCACTGAACTCTGATTTTCCAAGGCAAATAAAACCACACCTAAAAGGTTTTTGCCCGAACTAACTATCCAACCCTAGGACTCGAAGTTTTAATTGCAGAACATGAATGGCTTCACTGAACGTTCATCAGACAGAACACACCACTAACAAAAGTCTGAGCAAAACAGAGGCAGCCTGAAAGGAGACTAACTCAGTGTACGAGCTTGTGTGTGAGTCTGGGGGCTTGCACGTCACTTTGTGAGAGGTCGGCCTCCCTGGGGAGCCTGCTATGCGGCGCTCCTTTTCCATCCGCTCCTCGCAGCTCCCAGAAGGCCAGAGAGTCAGATGTTGAGAGCGGCAAAGGTCTTCACCAAGGTGACCTGCGTGTTCGCATCCGCTTCACTTCGGCTGCTGTCCCTGTGGCCGCTCCTGCTCTCCAGGGCCTTGTGACGGTGCCTCTCCTCTTGTCGCTTCTTCTTCTCCAGTCGCTGCTGCTCCCGCCTCTGTCTGCTGGTGACCTGAAAGAGAAGGCCGCGTGAGCTGCCCGCACAGCGGACTCAGGTGGCACCTGCCGAGGGGACACATGGGGCACGGACAGATCCAAGGGTCATGGGCTGCTTCTCAGCGAGAACAGAGAAAACCCACCTAACAGACCAGAAGTGATGTCTTTCCCATCACAGCTCCAATTTACATTTAAATTTCTATCTCCTTGCTGAGCTAGCAAAAGAAATAAATTCCATTCTTCTCAAAATCCAATACACAATGACCTAAGAAACATGAACCCCAGTCCTGCACGACATAATGCTCAAACATGCCAGAGGGCCCCTGTCTCTACATAATTTAATGCCCCAGTAACCATAATAAAACCCTCAGCAGCTTTTACTGCATTTTTACCACTGCCTGTGGCTTTTGACATTATGCTGCATTTGGGGCTCAGAACTGCTTGGTGAAAAATCTTTAAAAGGAATTCCCAATTCCGTAAAAGCAATGGTACCATATACTACTTGCAGGAGTCAGGGGCGGGTAGAGAGACAGACAACCCTTCCAGGAAACATCTGACAATTTATCAAAAAGCCTTAAAAAGATTCAAATGTCCATACCCTTTAACCTATCCATTCCTCTTCTGGGACTCTAGCCACACAAAAAACTAATGTAAAATACAAAGATTTACACACAAAGTTCTTCAGTGAAGATGACGGCATTTATGGTATAATACGGGTTAACCGGGCAGCACCTGGACGCACAGGAACACTGGGCGGGGAGGGAGGCTGTATGTGTGTACACAGAGCAGCACAGCCGGGCCCACCTCTATTCGTCACTGCACGCAGCAAACTGGACAAGCAAGGTTCTCATTCTGCTTCTCGATGCCCCCTTATGCACTTCCCATTTTTTCTGCAATAACTACTTTCAAACCACCAGAAAACAATGACGCACTAAGATGAGCTCCCAGTTCCCACCACTGCCACTGAATCACCGCCGCCCACCACTGGCCCTTGCGAGCCCATCTTTCATACCTTTGGGAGCTGGTTTTTATTTGCTTTGTTTTCTTCACTAGGGCTGGCCCGCTCTTTATTGTTGTCAGTTCTGCCTTCATTTAAGCCCTGATTTCCAAAGAGCCTGGTGCCACTGCTGCCCTCCTCCCATAAAGGGCCACATGGCTTCAGACTTTGGCCGCTGGACTCAAGGTTCTCCTCTGCATCTTCCAAAGAAAGGTATTTTATTAAAATTGAGAACCTAAGACAGTTACACAATCTAACAATGCGTAACTCCAAAGAGAGCAAGTTTCCTTGAAGCAAAATTCTAACATCAAGTCAATACAGTGGGGAACACAGTGGGGAATGACTGGTACTATTTGGAAGATAAATTTAAAAAGAACCTGCTGACCAGCCTAATCATCAGCTTCCCACCTGCAGAGTGTCTTATTAAACCACTTTTTAACACATTTTTAGGAGGAAGTCTTTCATTTGCACCCAAAACCCAGAAAGGAAACAGACTCCAAACCCGTACTGCCTAATACAGCAGCCACCAGCCATAGGTAGCCATTTAAATTAAAAATGATTAAAGTTCAATGAAATTGAAACTTCAGTTCCTTACTCTCACTCAGCCATACATGTCAACTACACACTATACTGGATGGTGCTGTTTTAACGTCACAAAGACCAAGTTACTCGCAGCTTTCTGAGAAAGCACAGCAAATATATAAAGAAGAAAATATCCAAACACATAGAAAACTGTCATGCTGGGAGCAGAACCTGGCACCTATCCGGCAATATGTACCAAAATCATTCTGAATAACTTGTGAGGACACTAAGACTGTGTCTTTTTGTTGTTGTTGTTTTCCATCTTCTGAGTCACAGAATTAAACCCAGTTCAAGTAAAACAAAATTCTAATTTATCACCAGCTGATGGATACTAGTTATCTATATATTTCCATTAGAAAACTCAGTTATTTCTCTCTCTAGTCTATTTCAGTTATCATTTTTTTATTATAAGGGATTCCTCTTTCAAAAAGAATAAAGTCCTCCCTGAACTCTCCATCCCTCCAAGACCAGCTTAAGTGGCCTTTCCATGTACCCCCTGGTTCTCTGTACCCCCACTAGTACGAATTATTATGCTGGTTTCCCTGTCTCCCCTCTGCCCCTCTCTCCCCAACTCCAGATTATCTCCTCCCTGAGGCAGGGCCAACGCCTTGTAAAACATGCCCACATGCAGAAAGTGATAAATGGCAGTATAATCACTACCTGTGCCTTGATAAAAATTAAACATTTGAAAAGTCACCAACACAACCATTTTGAAAGCATAGAAATATCAATCATGGACTCACTATTTCTTTTCCCCTGGTTCATCTGAAGCATGGCAATTATTGCAGATTCAATGTTATAATTTTCGGCTTCCAGGTTCTGGACTATCAAATTAAAATCCTATCCAAGAAACAAAGGAACACGTCAAGACTGGGTAGACTCTTCTACCTACCTCCACGTCAACAACCTGATACGTGAGAAGAGCTAATGGTGAGAATCAGGGCGTGGCTTCAAGACCTTTTCCATTTAGGAGATGCCTTAATTTTCAATAAGGCTGGTCACTTGAAATAACTATTTAATATAAATAAGTTCCTTTATATAAAACTGCACTTTTACTAGTGTAAAAGCCAGTCAGAAAAAGAAAAACAAAAAACCCACACACCTCCTTAGGGTTTTGAGCAATACTGGGTAAAATCTAGCAAATAAGAGACAAGTGAATAAGCAGCTCTCCTTAGGTCATCTCACTTGATCTGATGAGCCACAAACATCATGAATCTTGCTCAGCCCATCAGGTGTGGGCATCCTACACTGGGGCTACGAAACTGGCAGGAAAACTCGGCCCAGCAATGCTTGTTCATGCACCATTATTACTACAGGACAGAAATACTCACTGAACATCCAGTCGCATTGCAGACCTTCTGGACAGCATCTTCTACTTCACCTCTCAGGTCATCCTCAAAGTCAACACCCTTCGTCTTGACCTTTTCCCTTTTATTTGACTCATCTTGATGAAGCATCTGAAACTAAAGGAAATATAAAGAGTAATAATCATGGAACATGCAAATTAGGTTCAGAATCTTCCACATAGGAAGACACTTTAATCTCAAAATCATTCTAGTAGTTATTGACGGGGAGAAGATTCCAGGAGCAATCTTCAGGGTATAGCAATGACTAGGCTAAATTTCATCCAGATACGGATACTCCAGACCATAAAAGAAGTGTTAAAAAGAAAGGCCCAAGATATAGGATAAACTGCTCAGGAAGAAGGGCATTAGAGCTCCTACATCGTTTCTAGACACCAACAATCTGGCAATGACCGCTGACTTGAACAGCACACGTTGTCTCAGCTGATCGCCAGAGCTAGGAGTTTAGTCACAGAAGCTCAACTGATAAGCTTCTGCAGCAGGACAAGTTGTCCTGAAGAAACATTCATACATCCCTCACCTGGGTCCCAAGGCCCTATCTGATCATCATCAAGTCTTGGTGTGCTGAAGTTCCTGTCCCAGCTGGACAGTCACAGGTGGGCGTGTCTCCTCTAACCTCATCTGACCTCACCTAATCACAGGCATACCACCACGTGCAAGAGAACCTGGCAATCCAAATCCTAAAAACAGAAAGAGCAGTTCGTTTGGTATCCGCGAGGCCTTTCCAACCTAAGCTTACTGCACAATAGCTAAAAATCGTCGCTCTGCGGTTGCTCAATCACCTTCTCTCTTCACTTCTGCTAACACAGGGAGATGGGAAACAGGCAAGGACAAATTCTTACTTGTTTGCCTGTAAAAGCATAAGCGGAATCCAGCAGTGTGCAGTCCATTCCTTCCAGCACGAAGCGATCTATTGTAAAATTACACCCAAACAACTTGGCCAGTCTTTAAAATATATCCAGAGGACATAATGTCAAATAATGTCAACTTTAGAAAGGGTTTATGTGAAAGTGCTCACCACAGCACTACTAATGGTGGTGAGTGACTGGAAACCTGAGGGTTTCAGTGTATAGGTAGTTAAATAACCATGGTAAATCCGTACACTGATGCTTCAGTTCTGTTAAAGTAAGGAGCTCAATAGACATTTCACTCGCATGATTATTTAACAATGTTTTGGCAATAGCAAAAAGCAATTAGCCCTTTCCCCGCCAAAAAAAAAAAAAAAAAAAAAAACCAGAAGTATAAAATTGGAAAGAAGAAAGATTACCACTATTTGCAGATGATATAATTCTATACCTAAAAGAAAAAAAAAAAAAACCCAAGAGAATCAACCAAAAAACTATCACAAACAGAAAGAATTCTGGCAAATCATATACTTACAAGAATCTAGTATCCAAAATATATAAAGAACTCTTACAATTCAACAACAAAAGCACAAATACCACAGTTAAAACATGGGCAAAGGACGTGAGCAGACATTTCTCCAAAGACACACAATAGCCAGCGAACACATGAAAAGATGCTCTACAGCATTAACCATTACAGAAATGCAGATCAAAACCAGGAGACAGCATTTCCTACCTGGTAGGATGGCCATAATTTAAAAGAGAAAGAAGGAAAAATAGCAGGTGTTGGTTAAGAGTGTGGAGAAAGTGGAACCCGGAACACACTGCTGACAGTACGTCAGACACGCAGCCAGTGTGGAAACAGTGCGGCAGTTCCTCAAGAAGTTAAACATATGACCTAGCAATTCTACTCCCGGATATGTATCTAAAAGACTGAAGACAGGGACTGAAACGCTATACGCAAATATTCATTGCAGCACTATTCACAAGAGCCTAAAGTGGAAATAACGCAGATGCCTATCGACAGATGAAGAGCTAAATGAATGGGCTCTATCCACACGGTGCGGTATTATTCAGTCTTAGGAAGTATGGACACCTGCCACAAAATGAACGAATCCTGAAAACGTGCTGCTGTGACATACGTCAGTCACAAAAGCCCACATATTGTATGATCCCATTTATATAAAACGTCCAGAACTGATAAACCCATAGAGACATAAAGCAGATTGGTGGTGGCTGAGGGAGGAAAGGAATGGGGAGTGACCTGCTTCATGGGCACGCGGTCTCCTTCTGGGGTGAGGAAAATGTTTTGGAGCTGGATGGAGGAAGGAGATGCACAGCTTTATCGGTGTATCAGTGGCACTAAACTGTACATTGTAAAATGGTTAATTTGGGGGCACCTGGGTGGTCTTGTCAGTTAAGTGTCCAACACTTGATCTCAGCTCAGGTCTTGATCTCAAGATCCTGAGTTTGAGCCCTAAATTGGGCTGCATGCTGGGCATGGTGCATACTTTAAAAATCTCTAAAATGGTTAATTTTGGGGGCACCTGAGTGGCTCACTGGGTTAAGCCTCTGCCTTCAGCTCAGGTCATGGTCTCAGGGTCCTGGGATCGAGCCCCGCATCAGGTTCTCTGCTCAGCAGGGAGCCTGCTTACCCCTCTTTCTGCCTGCCTCTCCGCCTACTTGTGATTTCCGTCTGTCAAATAAATAAAGTCTTTAAAAAAAATTAAAAAATAAAATTGTTAATTTTATGTTACGTGAATTTTACCTGAATTTTTAAAAAAGACAGAATTCTGCATGATAGCTGGGTGCACACATAATTAACATTTTGTTAATTACTCTCATATATACAAATGATAACTAGCTAGGAAACAGAAAAAGAAGAAGATCCTTTCCTTATAATAGAAACAAAAACACAAAATACTTAAGAATAAACTCTGCAAAAAATTAGCAAGATCCATATGTAGGAAATGCTCCTAAGGATCACCCAAAAAGTCAATTAAACAGAAAAACATAAAACATCACTGGTTTGGGGGGTACCTAGATGGCTCAGTCAGTTGAAATGTTAGACTCTTGGTTTCAGCTCAGGTTAGGATCTCCAGGTCACGGGACTGAGCTCCAGGTCGGACTCCACACTCAGCGCGGAATCTGCTTTAGATTCTCTCTCTCCCTCTCCCCGGCCCCTCCCCACCACTCATGCTCTCGCTCTCTCTCTCAAATAAATAAATAAAATCTTAAAAAAAAAAAAAAATCACTGGTTTTTAGCTCCCAGGGCACACAGCTCTTGACCCGGTTCCACCAGGGCTGAGAACACAGAAGAAAACAGGGGCCTCACTCACATCTGTCTGGAGGTGTGCAGGGGCTTCCGAGTTGTCATTCAGCCTCCGAACACTGTCATAGTGCTCTCCGCACCGATATGCGATATGTAACTCCCTCACACTGCTCTTCTCTGTGCCACGAATCTGCAGGCAAAAGGGGAGACAGATGCCGGCGAGGATCTGGATGGTGTCAAGTCTGGGAGGGAAAGGCCCCCTGGGTTGTCCAGGAAGCCCAGTCAGCAGGCTCTATGCACACATGAATTCAGGATAGGCTGGGATATGCCAGAGGGCAGGGCCGGAAGAACAGATACAGGACAACCATCTGCTGCGACGAGAGATTTGGTGCTGCACACCTGGACTCTGGGCCCTGTGTTTTCAGCCTCTGATTTAATTTGTGGGGAAAAAAATAAAGGAAAGATTTTCTCTTAAAAAAAAAAAAAAATGCTTAAGTAACTTCTGAATTCTCTTTCTCCCACCCATGTTACATAGGCTTCAAACTGCTTAATGTGTAACTATATCGAAATCCACCCACATAAAAAAATATAGTCAAAAGCCAGAGCAGATTTACGAGGAAGTTAGAGCAGCTTATGTTTCAGAGGCTTCTGCACCCCTCAGCCCCTCCATGCACAGGCCCTTTCCAGGGTGGAAGGCCCAGGGGCTGAGACAGATTTGTTCAGTTTGAAGCTCAAACAACCTGGGGCCCTCTTTGAGGAAAAGAATACAAAATTACAAATATTAAATTGCTATAACCCCTCCCAAGACCTTGAAAGGGGACTACAAAAATGAGGGACCTGACACTCAGAGTAAATCCACCCATTGTTAAAACAAAAATAGCATTTTCCATCAACTGCATACTAAGAAATTAACAAGAACAAATTCAAAAATTAACAAGAACAAATTCAAAAATCTCACTTAAACCAAATTCAAAACAAAACGTGATACTGTCAAGCAGTACTACTGCGTGGCCCAATGATGAAGGCACTGTTCCAAAGCACGCCATGCGAATGGTGCCCACGGAGCGCAGCCCGACAAGAACGGTCTTCCCTGAAGTTGTGCTGTACAGAAGCCCTGAGGGTCAGGCTGGGTACGCCCCCAAGAAACCACCACCTCCACAGAAACTCTGAAGTAATTCTGAATCTGTCCCTTAAAAAGCCCAGTAACTGTTTCTTTGTTAAACACCAAAACATCAGCACCTCTTCTTGTTTTTACTGAAAGTCATAGGTAGTAAGATTCTGCCATTAATTCAAACAGTATCTATGGTCTAAAACACAACAAAAGCCGGAACCACACAAGTCTAGAGATCAGAACCATGGAAATTTCCTCCAGGTGGAATACTTAGGTCTCAAAATACAGAGAGTCTGGTTTTGACATATAATAGAGCAAGTACCAATTATCTCTCTTGGGAGGGGTTAAAGCAATTATAAATTAAATCTCCAGGAAGAGTAATGGAAAAGGAAACTAGTTGATTAGAATCTTTGAATGACATTGTCCCTAAAATACGTACATATTTAAATAATAGTAATATACACACAGTATGGATAGGAGAAAATAACTGGAATAGTCACCAAATTGTTAACTGTGATGTTCAGGGGGAAAGAGATTACAGAGGATTTTCACTTTCTATACTACACATGTCTACACTCTTCACAGAAGCACATACTCCATTTGTAACGAGGGAAAAAATGCAGGTTTCAGCGTCTCGATGTTGTGAATACAAGTCTACTCATTATTCATGCAAGAGCTCTTACCCCAGATAGTAGCAACCAATGCAGTTTCAATTCTTAAATTTTCTAAGATCCAGGGCACCTGAGTGGCTCAGTAGGAAGCCTCTGCCTTTGGCTTAGGTTATGATCTCAGGGTCCTGGGATCGAGTCCTGCATCGGGCTCTCTGCTCAGCAGGGAGCCTGCTTCCTCATCCCCACCCCCACCTGCCTCTCTGCCTACTTGTGATCTCTCTCTGTCAAATAAATAAATAAATTTTTAAGAAGTTTTATAAGATGCTTCAAAGGGGAGTGGGAAGATGGAGGAGATCCAGTGCACAGTTCCATTATACAGCAATTATATTTATTTTAAAAACATATACTTTCAAAAAAACAAAACAAAAAACCAAAACATATACTTTCAGTGTTTAGCAATCCATGAAAAAGAATACTACAGAAATATATGTGGAAAAAAAATTCTAACTATGCAGAATTATCTTCCACAACTACCTAGGTAATAAAAAAAAAACTAAAAAAAACAGTTAGGGGAGCCTGGGTGGCTCAGTCAGTTAAGCAGCTGCCTTTGGCTCAGGTCATGATCCCGCATCGGTCTCCCTGCTTGGTGGGGAGTCCGCTTCTCCCTCTCGCTTTGCCTACTTGTGCTCTCTATCTCTCTGTCAAATAAATAAATACAATCTTTTTAAAAAATAAAAATAAGACAAACAAAAAAAGTTATTGGAGTTCCTGGGTGGCACAGTCGGTTAAGCATCCGATCTTAACTTCAGCTCAGGGCATGATCTCAGGGTCATGGAATCAAACCTCTGCACTCAGTGCGGAGTCTGCTTGTCCCTCTCCCTCTGCTCCTTCCCTCCCCACGCACACACACTCACACTCTCCCCCCCTCTCAAATAAATAAATAAAATCTGTAAAAACAGTTCTCAATGGAGGGAAAGGGAGACTGTGGTTACTAAGTTGGCCCAGATTATTTTTCATCAAGAATAGGGTCATTATGCTATAAATTCAAATGATCTCGATGACTTCTGCTAAACAGTAAAACTTTAATGACCAAAAACTGAGACCATGGAACCAGTAACCAGTATTCTTGGTTGTAAGACCAACCTTAGAAAGAGAGAATCTCGGAAAATATGATCGTGTTCCCTGGTGTTGGTCCACCTGACAAAACTGCCCCAAAACAAAATATGTACAGTCACTGTCCCCCCGCCCTGTCCCTACATCTTGCACCAACCCATGAGTATCCCGTTTATTCCGCTCTAAGAGAATTTCATTAAAGGATATTATGACAGATGCAGAAGACTACATACTTCCATTAATAGGACATTCTGAAAAGGCAAAATTGTAAGAGATAAATGACATTAGTGTTACAAGAGGCAAGGGATGGGGGGAGAGGGAACTCTGACTGCAAATGGCCATGAGGTGACTTTTCGGAGTCATGGAAATAATCTGTATGTTGACAACGGTGGTAGCGACGTGACTTTGTTTGTCAAAACACACAGAAGTACACGTCAGAGAAGGATGAATTTTGCTATATGTAAACTGTCTCTATAGACTTTATTTTTAATGAGGAAAGGCTAGACACAAGCAATTTACAAAGAAATACGTACGTGCAGGTGGTATATTTAAAAAACGAGGGGAAGAAAGGTCATCATTGCCTTTATGAAAATAATCAGAGAGATGTGTAAGAAGTGTGTACGTGTGCACACAGACGCATCTCCGTGTGCGCAGATGGGCTTCAAACAGGTATGAGACCACTGTGATGTGTCTCTTTTCCAGGTTCGGCAAACAGTGCACATGAACGCCACGGATACACACTAACATGTTAACAGTAATAATCTCTGCATAATATGACACTCTGGGTGATTTTTACTTCCTTTTATGGGCTTTTCTGAAGTTTCAAAATTTTCTATGATTAACATGTTTTAGCTAATTAAAAAAAAACAACTTAGAAATGGGGAAGTGAAGGGAAGAAGAGAGGACTAACAGAAATCCTATGCATAGTTTTTAGGAGTGGAGCCACAACGGGAAAAGCAGTTCTCCGAATGCAAGGATGAAGAGTAAGGGGATGGTAGCCTAGAGACACTTTCCCCCTGACTTGTGGCTTTCCATACTCCAGAACATTTGGTTTGATGGACTGTTTGGAGGAGATGAGGTTAATTTAGGATACCAAAGGTAATGAAAGGTGAAAACAGGTGAACGGACAAGTACTTCATGACACGGGCCGGGGGACCACACCGAGTACGTGTTGTTAAAATCTTATTTGCTGTAGAAAAACCACTAAAACCATTCTGTGTGGCTGGGCAGAGCACAGAACAGAGCTTGACATCCTAGACCATGAAATATATTTTGCTGTTCAGAACACACTTTTTAGCAACACTTACTGAGTGCATTTGGTTTTTGTCTCCCTCCACATAAAAAAACAAAACATACACGTGGGTTAGGCATACCTCCAACCGGAATTTGTAGGCCCGAATCCTCTGGATTCCCACTTTACTATTTTCTACAACATGATCTAAAGTATTTCCATATTAGGCTGTCGGCCCTCAAATTACCCCGTTAACTGACTGCTAAATAATATATATTTTTTAAGTTGTTATTTAAAGTCAAGTTAGTTAACAGTGTATTAGATTCAGATGTACAATTCAGTGACTCAACACTTCCATAGGACACCCAGTACTCATCACGAGTGCCCTCCTGCAACCCCAGCACCCTGCTGAATAATACTGTTAACCTTCTAAAGGTCTGTGCCTTATACTTCAGACTCCCTATGTACATAGCACGGGGTTTAATTCAAAGCCACTGGCAGCTTCCCATCTGTGGTTAGGCCAGCAGTCCAAGTGACCCTGTACAGTTCAGTATCACCATCTCTGGACACCCCCAATGCTAATTTATAAGTAAGAGCTTAAGACAAGTCCCCCAGTAGGTGACCTACCTGCCACAAAGGGGCATTAAGTTGATGAATCACCACATTCAACTGATGATTTCTTGCAAAGGCTACGATTGCATCATTGCCAGCAAAGGTTCCAGGCTTTGCCAAACTGGCCACTGCACAAAACAGGAGAGAGAGGAAAATGAACTCTTTGGAATGGAAAAATCCAAGTGCAAGCATGCTTTGGTATTTGCTTAGTTCCAAATAGTATGAAACAGAAGGATCCATCTGAGAAATCCGTAAGCTCTGTCACAACCAGGAATTCAGTTGGTTGCACAGTATGTCGTCTGCTACTCGGAAGAGTACCAATCATTCATAAAGAAAGGAGTCATTTCTTCCCTCATTAACTACTTACTGACTGTTTCCTATATGCCTAACTCTGTAAGACTGGAAACGGAACAACCAGAGTAACCTTCAGTTTGCATTAATGAGTGTGATTAGGTGTTAAGCATGGCTCTACTCACTTCCGGATTATTATTTTTAATCCTCAAAACTCTCTGAAAGAGACAGCATCATGCACACCATCCTCCAGGTAGAGCAGTTTGTAACTGAGCCCAAGGTCACAGAGCCAGTACATGGCAGAGCAGAGACTGCATCCCAGGCAGCCTGATTCCAAGCCCTGGCTCTTGGCCACTCCGTTACACAGCTGGTCACAATCTGAGCTCAAGGAGTCTACAAGCAGTGGGGGACAAACAACAAGAAAACAGGCTGATGCATAAGTGTCGCAGGGAAGGGATGTACAGTAAGGAACTTGGCCTCACCCAGAGAGGTCTGGCCTTTGTCCCTGACTCATAGGTTATAGCCTCTAAACCCTTGAAATTTCCCACGTGAAAGGATGATGGGCCCCTTGGCCCCACTTGAGTTTATACTAATGAGGTGACTCATGGTGGGCCTCTCTGGCCACATGATGGTAGGAAGACCTGGGGGACTGGGAGCTGGATACTGAGAGCAACCACCTAGGCAGTCAATCAATAATAGCTACGTAATGAGGCCCCAGTAATCCAAACGCGGAAGTCAGGGGGCTCCCTGGCTGACAGTATTCTGTGATTGTGTAACCTTCCCTGACTCTAGCCCTTGGCTAATTTTGATCCATATCCTTTCCTTGCAAAAAACTGTAACTATGAGTATAACCACCGTCAGTGAGTTCTGAGTCCTTCTAACAAATTATTGAACCTGAGCCTAGTTCTGGGAAACCCCCAATTTGCAGTTGATATCAGAAGAGGGTATCGGGTTCTTGGGTGGCTCAGTCGTTAAGCGTCTGCCTTCGGTTCAGGTCATGATCCCAGGGTCCTGGGAATGAGCCCCGCATTGGGCTTCCTGCTCCTCCCACTCCCCCTGCTTGTGTTCCCGCTCTCACTGTCTCTCTCTCTCTCTAATACATTTTTAAAAATCAAAAAAAAAAAAAAAAAAAAAAAAAAAAAAAAA